TATTTCTGAACATACTTTTTCGTGTTTTAGTTCTGCCTATACATACGGCGCAAGATAGAGCCGAGCAGTCTTCTTGACCTTGTGTTGACGTGAAACTTTTTAAGAATGAGTTCCAGCTCTGATGATGCCCATCATATATAATGGATGAAAGCTCAGTCCGTTTTCACCCGAAACGAAGGAGGATGTGTAGTGGACAACGTCGACATGAATGCTGTATTAAAGTCGGCTGCAGTAAAACGGCAATCGGCGTCGTCTTCTGGTGAGATCGAGCTTCGAATCTTGCCTTCATGCACTTTCATGCGAAATGAAAGCCTCCGCAACAATGCTATCTCAGGAGATTAATCTAAACCAAGTTGCCCTTCGTACTTAGTTTTACCTAATAGACTCAGGGATGGAGGGGGTGTTGGGCCGCCTGAAAAAAGTGGACCAATCAACTAGTATTTATGGTTGATTCTAATTACGACTACTTTTTTTATCTCACACGAAGCCCAAAGCCTCATCAACCTAACCAGACGTGTCCGGCTTTGCGTAACCGGATTGATGGCCGAAATGCATGTGGTGCTAATCAAACCTTTACGACCGAGAGCAGACGTTACTTTTCTCTTCTAATTACTTTACACCACCACTGTTGGTTTCATACATATACGCACACATGAAGGCGTATGCACACACCCACAGACACACTCACATGCTTCGAGGTTGATATAGGACTTGAGCTAACCAAATCACTTTATACCTCATCAGAGCCGGTGAGCCTTATTCATTGGCTAGCTTGAGTATGGTTTTAAGGGTGATAGCCTGTCTTGATGATGCCCGTCATACGACGGAGGAAAGCTTAGCAAGGTTTCACGAGAATCGAAGATTGCCTCGGAAACGGCGTAAACAAGAATTCAAAGTCAAACGACGACTGGTCAAAAGCAATCCGCCGTCGTCTAGTGGTGAGATTGATCTTGGAATCTCTTCACCATATTTCGTTTAAGGTGATGAAGGACTGATAGAATAAGAATTTTCCCACAATGATATGAGTTGAGCTGACGT